TATAAGAAATATTGACAAAAAATATTAAAACAAATAAAATGAAGAAAAAACATATAATTGTCAATAATATTTTTAATATTATCTGTAAATGTATTTGATTACGTTCACATTTATGCCCAACTCGACAAGGCTGCGTATAGTTAGAGCAGCAATCGAGTAACTCTCATACGGAATGATTGATGACTCCATTGTGCAGGGTTTCCCATGTCCCTGGTACGATTTCGTGCGAGCGGCATACAAAAAGCCAGGCGCCATTTCGAAAATGAGCAGAATTATGGAAAATTCTGGCCGGAAGATCGATTGGATAGTAGATTTCCGGAGGAAAGTTGCACGTACCATGCTCGATCCAATTCTAAATCCGGATTCTAAACATTCAAACATTTCTTGAAACAGATGTAACAGATATAAAGAATCTCAATCTAACAGACATAAATAATGATGTTTATCAAATGACAAATATTTTATTAGTAAAGAAGAAAAAAAGAAACCTCAAAAAAAAACAACTAAAAACTTGATTACACATATACAATTAATTTTATAAAAACTAATTTTTATAAAATTATAGCTTTTCTTATAGATTTTACATCTAAAAACAAATTGTGACAATCAATATTGAATGAAATAAATTTTTATATAAAAAGGAACCTAAACTTCATCTTTGTCGTAAGTAAAGTTATTCGAAATTTTGGTCTACTCTTTAACTTGTATCTCTTTCTTTCTTTTATTTCATGCGGTTTCTAAACTCCCGGTTTCCTCAGAAACTAACACCTTTTCTATGGAATGTGGTGCATCACTTTATAAAGACGGAATCCTTCTTTCTCGGAAATCCCACGCGATTCTCTCAATAGACAGCTGTCTGTTCGTCAGTAGACACCCGCTGAATTGTTGTGACTCGTTCTTTGATAGACACAACACCCAATATCCAAAAATGTTGCTGTTAAGCTGCTGTTAAGACGTGACATTTGGGTGTGCTGAACAATTAACGTTAGGCTCTCTTCAAATATCATCTCAAGCAGTTGACAGAAGTCAGAGTTTACTACACCTTTCAGAAAAAATAAATACTTCTCAATAAGCAGAAGCGGATATTTTTCTCAGCAGAGATACCTTCTTTTTGTGAAAACATCATTGAAGAAAAGCTTCTGAATTAGCTTCCTAATCTTTCTTTTGGTGAAAAGCAGACGAATATTTTATTTTTATTTAATATTTCTTTTGATAAACATTTTAGTAAATAAAATATTCAATATATTTTTCGCTTTATAGCTTAAAATTGTTTTGAATTATCTTATTGTTTTAATTATCTTATTGTTGTTCGATAATCTGAATAAAATATAATATTATATAAATTGCTAATAGAAGAATTAATTTATATCACAAGTAAACAACACACAGTAAAACAAATAAAGGAATTTTAACAAAAAAGTACTTTAGAATGCAACGGATTATTGTGGCTTGCAGATAAGAGTCAGGACTGCAACAGAACAACTGTAGCTCAGCATGACAATGCAGGTGCCTCATCCTACGTCAAATCTCAGCGTGGCGCCGCGCGGGAAGATGGGTACTGAACCGATTGAGTAGACTATAATTGTTTAATAGGATTAAAATCACAAACGAGGTTTGCGCGTCATCCGGAAAGAAAGGTGCTGATATTTATCCAATATTAAATCAGGCTAAACTCAAATTTACCAGTCTAATCCCCGAAAAATCTGACAAACGCGTTTTCCAAATATTTACTTGAGAAATCATATACTTTGTCAATAAAAAATTGCGTGATCTTTGTTATTTTGATACTTCTTATTGAAAAACTTTGACTACTAATTGTTAATTTTATGCTAAATTACATTGTATTATCTAAATATATTTTGAGGGATTTATTAAATAAATAATTTGAAATGATTGAATTATATAATGCTTTTGAGGCTTCCATGGCTACTATTTTCATTATCTTATATATTTTAATATATTTTAATATGTTTTAATAAGTATTATCCGTGTCATCATACATTGTTAAATGTCAACGTTTCGTGAACATTATCAAGCTGCTTCTCCCTCTAATAAAGTGAATTACAATGAAACGTTGGCATTTAACAATGTATAATATAACACACCATATGATGACATGGATAATACCCATAAACATATTAATTTTTTTGATAATTATATAATTATATCTTTTGATTATATAAGTGAAAATATTAAATAAGAAGACTTTATTATTTAATAGATTTCATAAAAATTAAATTAAAAGATCTATTAATTCAGATACACTTCAGTTTTTTCAATTTTTAATTTAAAAGGTCTAAGTATGTTAAAATGAATGACTATATTAAATAAATCAATTTTTAATTTAAAAGACCTAAATATATTTTTAATTTATAAGATTTAAATAAGTTAAATTAGTATTACTAAGTATAAAAGTTTGCAATATGTAATATATTTTTTGAAAATTTCTCTTATATATAAAAGAATCAATTTACTATTAATGATATTGAAAATTCTCATATTTATCTATATTGATAATATAATATTGTATAAAAATAAAGCAACACATCCAATTAAAAGCAAAAATCCGAATTACACATATTACGATAAAGATAAAATATGTAACTGCGCGTTCGGGTGAAAAAGATTAGCCGACAGCAAGAATCAGAACTATCAAACGTCACTGTAGCTCGATCAAGATGAAGATTCCCCGATCTGATGTACGAAACAGGACGGATGTCGCGGGTGGCCGCAGGTGGCGCCCTCGATATAAGCTCTTCTGACTGAACTGCTGATACGGGACCATGCTTCTAAAACTCTCACGGTGGAATGTGTCATCCTGTCACTGCGCTCTCGCATAGGGTAGAAGATATCCCATGGGCCGTCACGCATCCTCCGGACGAGTGAGCTCTTGTCACTTTTCTTGGATCCCCTTATTGCCAAAAATGTTCACGATTCATTCATCAAATAATAATTAAGACAATTCTGATATAATA